GGCTAAAACTACAGATAGGTTGACGAGACCACTCAGAATTTACAGATTCTGGAGATCAGCACTCAAGTCCTCACATGAATACAGTAAACACTCTAGTCACTAACCCATCTCCCAGCCCACATTTTACTTTTATTTGTGGCAGAGTCTTACAAAGGTCTCTAGGCTGGACTTGAACTCACACTGTAGCCTAGGCAGTCTACATTCTCAGGTTCCCAAGAAGCTTCAATTACACATTTATGCCACCAGGATCTTCATTACACATTCATCAAATCTCAATTCAGAGCAGTGGTGAATCCATATGTGGTACCTTGCTACAGTCCTCAGACTTCTTAGCTATCACTTAGCAAATGCTGTCAGTCCGTAATTATCTCCTGCTTTATGAAAGACAATGTCTCATGAGAATTCAGAAAGTATCTGGTCTATTGCTGGCTAAATTATTTTCTCGGCCATTCCTGCATCAACCTTAAGATTCTAGAAAGGCTGTTTTCAGGACTATAGCTCTACAATAGAGCTTGAAGTCAGGGATGGTGATGCCTCCAGAAGTTCCTTTATTATACAGGGTTGCCTTGCTATCCTGGGTCTTTTGTTTTTCCATATAAAGTTGAGGATTGTCCTTTCGAGGTCGGTGAAAAATTGTGTTGGTATTTTGATAGGGATTGCATTGAATCTGTAGATTGCTTTTGGTAAGATTGCCATTTTTACTACGTTGATCCTACCTATCCAAGAGCATGGGAGATCTTTCCATTTTCTGGTATCTTCTTTAATTTCTTTCTTTAAAGACTCAAAGTTGTTGTTATCCAGGTCTTTCAACTGTTTGGTTAGAGTTACTCCAAGATATTTTATGGTGTTTGTGGCTATTGTAAAGGGTGATGTTTCTCTGATTTCTTTCTCATCCCCTTTTTTGTGTATATATAGTAGGGCTACAGTTTTTTTGAGTTAATTTTATAAACAGACAGGTAGACCCTGATGTCAACCCACACACCTTGGAACACCTGACCTTTGACAAAGAAGCTAAAACTATACAATGGAAAAAGAAAGCATTTTCAACAAATGTGCTGGAGTAACTGGACGCCGGCATGTAAAAGACAACCGATAGATCCACATCTGTCACCATGCACAAAACTTAAGTCCAAATGGATCAAAGACCTCAACATCAACCCAGCCACACTGATTCTCTTAGAGGAGAAAGTGGGAAGTACCCTTGGATGAATTGGTACAGGAGACAGCTTCCTGAACATAACACCAGTAGTACAGACACTGAGATCGACAATTAATAAAAAATGGGACCTCCTGAAATTGAGGAGCTTCTGCAGGGCAAAGGACGCAGTCAACAATACAAAACAACAGTCCACAGAATGGGAAAAGATATTCACAAACCCCACATCTGACAGAGGGCTGATCTCCAAAATTTACAAAGAACTCAAGAAGCAAGTCTTCAGAACACCAAAGGATCCAATTAAAAAGTGGAATACAAAAATAATAAAAAATAAAAAAGTGGGGTACAGAACTAAATAGAGAATTCTTAATAGAGGAGTCCAAAATGGCCAAGAGACACTTGAGAAAGTACTCCTTAGCCATTAGGGAAATGCAAATCAAAACAACTCTGAGATACCATCTCACTCCCATCAGAATGGCTAAAATCAAAAACACTAATGACAGTTTATGCTGGAGAGGATGTGGAGAAAGGGGTGCACTCCTCCACTGCTGATGGGAATGCCAATTTGTGCAGCCACTTTGGAGATTGGCATGGAGATTCCTCAGGAAAATGGAAATCAGTCTACCACAAGATCCAGCAATTCTACTCTTAGGCATATACCCAAAAGATGCACATTCATACAACAAGGATGTCTGTTCCACTATGTTCATAGCAACATTATTTGTAATAGCCAGAAACTGGAAAGAACCTAGATGCCCCTCAACTGAAGAGTGGGTAGAGAATATGTGGTACATTTACACAATGGAGTACTCCCCAGCAGAAAAAAAATGGAATCTTGAAATCTGCAGGTAAATGGATGGCACTAGAAGAACCATCCTGAGTGAGGTAACCCATTCACAAAAAGACAAGCATGGTGTCTACTCATTCATATATGGATTTCAGACATGGAGCAGGGCATTGCCAGCCCACAATCCCACCTCCAGAGAGTTTGGGGTACAGGGAGGACCCTAAGATAGATATGCATGGTAACCTGGAGAAGGGTTATGGGATGAGATCTCCTAATTGGATTGGGGGGGTGAGAAGGGGAGGGCAGAAGGAGATGGGAGAAGGAGAGGGAGAAAAGAAGAGGGGAGAGGAGGATGTGGGAGAGCAGGAAGGTTGAGCCAGGGTAAGAATGGAGGAGAAACAGATGGGAGATACCATAAAAGAGGGAGCCAGTATAAGTTGGAGGAGAGATCTGGCACTAGTGAGATCTTTATAGATTTACAAGAATGACACCAACTGGCATTATGGCTACCTTAAATGCCCTCCCATGATAATAAGAATGATGACTACCTTATATGCCATCCTAGAACTCTCATCCAGTGGCTGATGGAGGCAGAGGCAGACACCCACAGCTGTGAACTGAATTGAACTCCTGGAACCCAGTTGCAAAGAGGAGTGATGACCAAAGGAATCAAGATCAGGCTGCTAAACCCACAGAGGCAGCTGACCTAAACAAGGGGGAACACATGGACCCCAGACTGATGACTGAGGGGCCAGCATGGGACTGATCCAGACATCCCTCCCACCAAACCTGGGTGACAGAGAGGAGGCCTTGGCAATCTGTGGGTCCTTGGAGAGTAGAGCAGTATTTATTCCTGGCATACAGAGGGACTCTGGGAAACCATACCATGTGGAGGGATGCTCTCTTAGCCTGGACACATGGGGGAGGACTGAGGCTCCCTCCTGGGATGATGTGACAGACTCTGAAAATCCCTCATGGAAGCCCTTGCCCTCCCTGGGGAGCTTAGTAGGTCGGTAGCACTGGCCGTGCCCTTGAGCTGCCAGTAGGCAGCACGATGCTGCCTTGGACAACCTGTGGTTGCCGCTCCAGAGGCTGGGCAAGGTTAAATATGAGAAGTATTTGTTTTCTAGAGGAAATGGAAAAGTTTTCCCAGCTCTCTGATCATGAGAGGAACTGGTTTAAGGTCAGCAGTCTTTCTCCAAGTGCTAAAGGATTTAAGGGGGTAATAAACGTCTGATAAGCAAGATTGATAGAATTTTCACTGTTTCATATCAGCATATTAGCAGACTTCTACAATCAGTTAAACAAAAAGGTAATGTAGATTTTTAAAAAGGTATATTGAAAACTCTACAAGGAAACAGCTAAGCAAAGTAATTGAAGCAATTGCCTTAAGTAATCATCACAAGGAAAGCAATTTAGCAAATTTGAGAAGCCACACCTTAGGAAAGGACCAGGGTCAAGCACACTTCTGGTCTCAACAGTCCCCAAAGCCATCCCACTATAGCAACATATCTGGTTTTCAATGAGTAGGGTGCCCTGGGGGAGCCCAGCTGTTTGATAAACTGTGCCTGGGGATGCAAGGGTGTGAACAGGTAAATCAGCTCCCAATGCTTCAATTCACGATTGCTTATTTGAAGGAAAAGTTGTAATCTGGATAGTGCAACATGAACTCCTACAGATCTGATAATCTGTACAGGGTGTAACTTTCTAAGGGTTGGTTTTGTTTGTTTTAGACTATAATATTGGACAGTTAATACCAGCATTGCACAAATTTTGGGAGGATAAGACACTATGTATTTCACAGAACATCTAAAATACCTTTTAAAAAAATATTATATCCAGGACTTTTTGGTTATTGGTTTGGTGCTGTTGTGGTAGTGGTATTTGAGATTGACCCTAGTGCTTCCTGCACAACCATGCAGGTATCCTCACCCTGGTCTTCCTCCTAGCCCTGAAATTGTGCAAAAGATAATAATAACCAAACCACTCATATTTGTTTTTCTTATCAGTATATAGACCTCATAAAAAGAATTTTAGTTATGTGTGAGGCAAAGGCCACTAAACTGATTTCCACTTTGCATCTGGGTATCTGGCAAGCATACCAGTGGGATTTTCTCAACTATTGAAATCCTGAATGGTTCTACAAAATTTTGCTTTTCCTGGCTATTGATTTAAATAAAATGAAGGGAAATTGAGTATGAATCCTTCAGCAAGTGACCTTGAAAACTGTGTGCTCTGTGTGTGTGTGTGTGTGTGTGTGTGTGTGTGTGTGTACACGTGTATGTGTTTAATTAAGTACTGATTCATAACAGAGCTTATGTGTGTGTTGGGGGGTTAACATGAACTTTCCATATTTGTGCATGTATACATTTAGGTCATAATGAACAAAGAATTCCTTCCCTGATAGTCTCAAAAGAACTCTTTCAAACTCCTAGGGATTCATTCAGCCATGAAGAAGTACATTGGAGAATCATTCCACATAAAACATATGGGCTATAGCCAATCGCTTTCTTTAAGCAAGTCCTTATGTTTTAAGTCATTCCTTTAAGGCAGTGACTTTAAGAAGTACCCGAAGTTGATGACTCATAATCACACCTGCTTTATAGCTGCTGTCCAAGTACTATGTATTGTGAGGGTAAAATGCCAAGCCAAATGCTAAGGGGGATAAAGACATTCTTTAATGCCCTGCAAGTCAAAGTCTAGGATGGCTTTTTGGTTTTTTGGAGGTAGTGGGTTAGAAATGAGAGCCTCCTGTACTTTAGGCAAGTGATCTGCCACTGAGTTACATCCCATTCCTTAGCACTGACTTCCCCATACCCTAAAGATAATCTGATTTTAGACAAAAGACTTAAACATATATACTGCATGGTGAGTATTCTGTGTGTTCATGTGTGAGCAGATACAGGCTTCCAGTTGAAAACCTGACTTAAGAAGCTGAGCCACATAGGACCTAGCCACAAAGTCGCAGCTCACACCTGGCCAGCTACTGTATGTCCCTTACTACAAGGTAGCAGGCTTCTGCTACCACAAGCGCAGCACGGAGGCAGCTAGATTTACCTTTCTTTGGTCTGGGTTTCACTGGCAAGGACTCCTTTCTTTCCATGGCTGCTTCTCTTTCTTTCCACCGTCGGATCTGTTCCTCCCTCATCTTGTAGAACAAGATCTGTTTCTGCTCTTCGCTGAGCTCTGCCAGCAGGTCGGGGTCTATGAACATATCTGACAGTATCTGTCTCAGCATGTTTGCTGATCACAAGAACTTCTCCACCTGTAGCAAAAGCTTCAGAAAACGTCTTGCAAGTACGCTCCCAGCAGCCGCGTGGTGCTGGGACACCTCCCCAGACCGTCCCAGAGGCTGGAATGTCCCAGCAACAGTGACCCGCTGGGACAGAAACTCAGCAGAGTGGTTTCTTCTGTACAGGCCCTTCAGTAGACAAACCTGCAAAGAGCGACAGCCCAAATCAGGCAATAAAATGTATAGATTCTGGACAGGAGCAGGCTAGTAAAGAAAGCCAGGGGGAAAATCCAATGCAGTTTCCTGTTTCAAAGAGAAAGAGGAGAAAAAGCCAAAGGATGATGTGCTAAGAGTTTGTATAACCTCTATTCCATAATAGATACTTTATCAAGAAAACCCTAACTTTGTACAGGCTGATCTCAGGGAAACAAATTTAACAGAAGCTTGTCTGGCCTCCTCCCGACTAAATAAACACATTATTACCTCAGAGCCTCCCAACTGACAACAGCATGGTCGAGAAGAACCAACAACAATAACAATAGCAAAAGGTCACAAGAGGAAATTAAAATACCCTCCCCAAATTCCAAAAGGAAAAATACCACATTTGGATATTTTTAGAGGAACAAAACCATTCTCAAAGAGGTAAAAAGAAGGGATAAAATTGAGAGCATGGTGTCTTTGTGTTCCCGTCACTAAGCACTGCATGAACACAACTGTGTGCTTTCTCCTTCACAAAGGGCATTTCCGGACAACCCAGCAGAGCCATGAGAGCGGTGTGAGTACAGAAGAGAGCATGCTGGAACATTCTGGAAGGTTACCAACCCTTAGCCGTCTCCTTTCCAGGAACCCGATTTAGTAAAACAGAAGTTTTAGGCCAGATGCCTGGGGGAAAACAGGTCACCAGCTTCTGTCTTTGATTTATAAGTTTATCAGGAGGCTCCTCAGAAAGAGGCTGTGGGCATGGGCAAGCATGGTGTCACCAAGGTAGCACTAAGGGAGGCACTTCCTCTTCTATGCCTGTTTATTTTACAGTTTAGTGTGGATTGATGCTTTTAGATATCAAACCTTCACACTCTGTGTATATGACGTACGGCATGTATTATGAATGCATGTGTGTACACACGTGTGCCACAGGGAACAATCTCAGACTCTATATATATTGGAGAAAAGACATTTAATTTGTTCCAAATGTCATGGGAAGGACAAAAGTCTCACTATGACTTTCCAGAACCATCTATGTTGCCAAAGATCAACTACAACTTCCATGCCTACAGTGCTTCAGTTATCTTGCTTTTTCCATGCCTGTTTAAACATCTTGTTTCTCCAGAGAAAGCAAAACACACTTAAATTGAGAATAGCTAGGAGCGGGCCGCCTTGTGACCACAGAAGTCTGGATACCCCCATCCTTGTGAGTTTTAATCCTTTTTCTTTCCCTTTGTATTGTCTGCTTCCTTCTAAAGTTGCTTCTTGGACACAGTCCTTTGAGACAAGCTCACTCAGCAGTCAGGTGTCACAGGACATCGGCAGCATTAGGCTCTCTAATTATTGACGGTACAGTGGGGCCTTGAAGCTACATGCCCTGTTTCTACCCGCAGCCTGTTTTTTCCCATGGCACCAAACTACTGGAATTCAAATGGAACACTATATTTAGAGGAAGGTTAAACAGCATTAAAATGAATGCCATGACTGTAACTTGGCCAGGCATAACCTGTCAGGGATCCTAGTTAAGCTTGCATATCAATATGCTTTGAGATTGTCTTCAAAGTATTATACAGTGCAGAGTCAATGTCTTGTGATATTTTGGTTCTAGCACATCCTCCCCGAATAGAGCAAGCCAAGTCCCTACTAAAGGGAGGTTTATGGAAGATATTCTTCTCCAATGGAAAGAATCTGGTTCTTTGGCACATGTGACTCCAAGGTGCTGAGGTAAAGTAGTAAGTAAATAAAGCAAATGACTCCTTGAAATTCCAGGACGCTTCCAATAAATGGCTACATTCCCTGGCCTCGGTGGTTGATGCCCAGAGAACAGGATAGAAAACTAGCAACGGATCAGGGCTACAGCTTCTACTCTATACCCAGTCTTTAATCAAGCTTAAGAGGGTCAGAGAGAGCTGAAAATTAACTCCCTCAAAGAGCCAAGGGCCTATTCTCCCCCCTGCCTGACCATAAATATTCTGATAACAGAACCAACACTTAACTATTGCAGGCACTAAAGTAAATACTTGGCATAAGTCAAGTCACTTCCGCCACTCTCTAACTCCAAGAGGCCAGTCCCATTCCGAGTACTGTGAGGCTAAAGCATGGCAGTGACCATGTCCTCTGCAGTGACTGGCGGCTACCAGTTTACTCAGGAGCCCTATCACTGTGTGACACCAATTTTAAATTTTCAGAACAAAGACCAGGAAGACCTCCCTAGGAAGAGACCTGCAGACCTGGAGGTTCCGCAAGTGCAGAAAGAAGCCCAACCCCAATCAGCTGTAGATAAGCTTGGAGGAGGCCAGAGAAGAAAACTCCCCACCCAGGAAGGAGCACAGAGCCGGCCGCCACCCTGGCCCAGTGTTGAGTTTGTCTTCCTCTTGGTCTCTACTTGCCAGATACTTTGTCTCCCCAATATTCCCTTCCGTGGCACATCTGTAAGGAAGTGTGAAAACCCTTTTTGTTTTTCCTTGTGAGGCAACATGGATTTCAAGCATTAAGGTTAATTAGTCAGGCTGTTTGGTTTTGTACTCCTGAGGCTTAACCCCTGTCCCTTGCAATGCTAGGCAATTTCTCTGTTGCTGAGCTACACCCTCGGGCCTCTTTTTACTTTATACTTTGGAACAGAATCTAAATTGCCCAGGCCACTTTTGAATATACTCTAGGCTAGGCAGGCTTTCGACTTTCTATATTGACTGCCTCTGTCTCTCACCTAACAGGGATTATAGACCCTGACCACCAGAGCCAGCTTCATCATTCTTGGGGGGGGGGAGACAAGTGTCTCCTGGGGTCCTCAGAGAATACAAGTGTCTGTGGCTGTTGGCTGTAGGCACCAAACTGGGCTGCAGATTCACTCTGGATGACTCTCCTGCCACCCTCTTCAAGGTTTCCCCATAGCAGACTGTTCATCTGATACCTCCACCACCCCAACCCAGAGTCCCAGTTTTGTCTCCAGTGAGCTGTGACTTTGGAAGGTCACTTCACATCTTTGGACTCAGCTTCCCAATCTGTAACATTAAACTTGGGATCTCTGTAACTCATGGATTGTGAGATAAAATCTGGCTTGAAGTTCTTGAGTCAAGTACAGGAAACAAACATGAGGAAATGAACCAGCCAGGGATTTTCCTACTTTCACTGCGACGAGACACACATTGCTGTCACTGATTCACCCAGTCATGTTTGGGTGTCATACTGAGTGCAGTTGTTTGAGATCCAGCATAAAGTGCAGCTCAACTAACTTGTTTTTCTTCTCCTGTGGGACTTTTCTTGCAAAGGACAAATAAGAAGCAACAAGCCCACACCTGTTGCTCACTCTAAAAATGTCAGAAGTCCTAAATTTGGTTAAGTTCCCAGGATGTCTGAAGATCTGGCCTGACTTTCACACTTTCCATTTTTCTACCACATAGTTGTGGTTTTAATTAATATGGAACCCAGTAAATAATAGCACCCTAGCCACAGCAAATGAATCATAAAAATAATGTGGTACATATAGGAAGTATATCCCTAAGGTTAAAAACCTAGTTTAAGTTTTATCTATCTTTTAAACATTACCTCTGTCTTCAGGCTCTGGGTTGTTTTATTCCATTTTTTCTTTTTCATTTATATGACGATTTTGAGAATAAAAAAATTGCAAGTGGTGAGAGCAGTTGGATGATTTATAAATGCTCTCAAGTACCTAGAAAAGTCTGTTTTGCCAAATCTTTGTTCTAGTATTCCTTCCACTTATCTACTAAATTAAAAAGTTATAAATACGTTGTTTTTGTTACAGAAGCAAAGGGCTGAGGAGGAGGCAGTCAGTTTCTCTGGGACCATATCGGAGGGAGACACCATTGAGAAAGCCTTCAAACAGCAATGCTCCACTAAAGACGCATGAACCCCTAGGATAGGAGCGGCCAGGATTGGGTCTCTTTTGTTGAGGAAAGTCCTGGTCCGGGTGCCTGGAGCCTGGTTCTGAGTTCAGCCTTGACCCAGAACCACAGGGAGGCGACACCGCCCTTCCCTGTACCACGTGGGGGCGCCCGCGCAAGGATGTCCCTGTCGGGGAGCTCTGCGTGGGCTGAAACCGGTTTGTGGGGCTCTCTGGAAGGTCTCCGGGCCAGGAGAGAACCCTGGCTGATTTGCCGGTACTACCGCCGGCACCCCGCAATTGCAGCTTGGCGAAGCCCCTCACACGTGGCTTCTGCCGGCTGCCCCTGCCCCAGACCGGTGTAAACCCCGCGTGAGCACACACACTGTCCGGACCCCACAACTTCCCAGACAGACGCCAAGTCACCCCCGATCCTCCTCGCACTGGAAGCACTCGGTATATGGATCACAAAGATCACAAGCACCCTGTCCTTCGGCCGTCACTCAACCGGCTGCAGCTGCAGACACTGGACACCCTATACTGGACACCGGACACCGGCCGCCGCCGTGATCGCCGGTTCCGCTGGGCACCTGAGCCCGCCCTGAGCGCGGGGGAGGAGGGACCGGAGGGACAGATGCTCGGGAACCAGGGTCTCACCACCCTCCTAGCCCTGGCCCCTGTGCTGGTCCCCTTATGCTGGAGACCCACTTCCCGGGTCCACTGCCCTCTCTCTCACCCGGGTCACCTACCTGCTCAGGACCCCAAGCAAGTGTCCCAAGCACCTGCCACCTTCCGATTGCCTCCAGCAGCTCTCCAGAAAGAGAAGGGAGGACGGGCTGAGACCCAGCCAGGCGGGCAGGCTGGACAAACACTCGGCCCAAGATACTCTCGGCGTCCAGCTCTGAGCCCTGGCCCGCCCCGCCGCGCCCACATGCCGGGTTGACTGACTGGGCGCTCCCTCGGGCTCCACCCGGGTTCTGGAGACACTCCAGAGCCACTAGGCTAGGCTTGGCTGCCTTGGTCCAGCAACAGTAAGGCAATCCTTGGTTAACCTAGAGCGCTGTCTGCAGTCTGGGATGGTTTGTCCCAGGAACTTATTACAACAGCCTGGCCCTTTCCACACTCAACTTGCGAGGTGGAGCCTGTGGAGGCGGGTAGGCCCTTCTGGGAACCTGGGTCCTGCAGGCCAACTTGGCGCTCTCTCCAGTTCTGCGCCTGCATTTCCACAGCTTACTTTCCCCCTTTCTCTTTTGTTGACATTAAGTAAATTATCAAACTCTGAAGCATTTGTTGCTCCAGGTGTGGGGTTAAGGCATGACCAGGGAATAGAATGGCAGGAATGTGGGAGACTCAAGGCACTAGAGACAGGGACAGCCAGGGAGGGAAGCCTGAAAGGAAAAAAAGATGGAAGAGCCCTGTGACTAACAGAAGAGAACCAGGATAGTGCAGGGCACAGCCTGAGCACATCTCCCAAAGCTTAGCAGCGTGGAAAGGTGGACAGGCCTTTCCTTAGGAGAGGAATGTCAGGGATGTGTGCAGGGAAACAGTGCTGGCTCGCTCGGGGTGTGGAGGGGACGGCACAGGACCCCAGACTGTGAGTGTGGAGAGAAATGCTATACAAGAAGCTTGGTGTGACTCTATACAGCCTGTTCAGTCGATCGAGAAGATGCTGTTTATCTGAGGCTTTACCCACCGCACAAACCTCGTGAGTTGGAAAACCTTAAAGTGGTGGTTATACCGGACATCCTCAACAGACAGCCTCAGGCCTTTAGGAGTGGTGTTTGGGATCCATTCAGGCAAGGGCTCCTGGCCCAGGGCTTAGTCTCCACTGCTTTGAATTGCATGGTTGGTGAGGTGCTTTGGGCTGGCCTGTCCCTCTCTGCTTACGGCTGCATCTGCTCAGCCAGTGCCTGGCACTCCCTGGATGGAAGTTAAGGAACTGCACGAGTGACCCATCCGTCAGCTCTCCTCCCCCACACACATTCTGTCTCCATGTCCTCACAAGGCCATCTTAACAGCTGCTCTCCCCCTGTACTGTCAGCCTTGTGGCTTCCAACTCAGGACAGCAGCAGTGCCTGGCCCAGGCAGATGTCATGAGAGTTAAGTGAGATAATGCATGCAAAGTACTAACATGTTCAAGTACTCGCTGCATGCCAGAGTACTTGTTGAACGGATAGAGGCTTTTGTGCAAAGTATTCAGATGAATTTCTGGCATGCAGTAAGTATTCAAGCACATTGATCCATATTATTCCACACCACATACTATAATTTCAAGTTCCTACCATCTCGTGCCAAGGCTATGAATTTCGTCTTCCACCTCATCTCGACTCTAGGCTATCCCCAGTCATTTTAGTCGAAGCATACAAGCCGTTGATGTACCAGCACTGGTTTGTGTGCCCAGTAGAACATAGTAGAAGTGATGGCCTCCCAATTCCTAGGTTAATTTGTGGTAATAGCAAAGATTTGCTATCCCATCACTCCGGATGCTGAAACAGAAAGATAGCAGCTTAAGGCCAATGTGAGCTACTTAGTTGCAAGGCAGCCTGGATTCATTGTGAAAGCACATCTAAAATAACGATGAAAAAGAAGTCTGCAGCTCATCTTCGTCTGTATGTCTGTCTGTTTCTCCACCCTCCCTTCTCCTTCCCCGTGTGTCTCCCTTACCCTTAAAACATTCATGCTGAGAGATAAGAATTTCCATATCAAGTGATCCATTGGAGGAATCCACCCAGAGGGACACTAAGGCCAAAGGCACACAAATTAGCTCGGAGGATCCTCAACTGCCCTCAAGCTTTTCTGTAACTACATCACTGGCCTGTAGCTTCACTGATAATTCATTCTACTGATCAGTTAAGCCACTTCAAAACTCATGATCTATATGTAATTTGGAGGTAGTGTAACTACATTACTGGCCTGTAGCTTCACTGATAATTCATGCTACTGATCAGTTAAGCCACTCCAAAACTCGTGATCTATATGTAATTTGGAGGTAGTTTGTTACACAGAAGTGAATAACTGATGCACCCTCTCACTGGTCTTGTGTGTAACCCAAATTTAATTACCATTCGTGTACATAAAATGGCCTGGACAGCTTGTTTAAATGCTGAGCCCATACCTCAGCCCAGAGCTCAGAAATAGAAGATTGCAGGGCCCTGGCACCAGCATGTCAAACAAGTACTTCAGGTGATCTGGGCAAAGGAAAGGCCTCAGAGTCTGTGCCCCAGCCTGGGCAGGCTAAGAGTGAAGCTGTCAATAAGTAATGGATCCCTCATTCAGTTGCTGAAACATTGTCAATGCCTACCCTCCCTCCTGCCCAAAGAGTGAAAACCTAACTGCGAGCCAACCCCGAGTTCTTGCTACCAGATACCCCACCTTCATGTAATCTGGTTTGTTACAGCCTTAACCCACAGCCTCTACAGCTTCACACGGGGTCCACTGTCTTAAACGCCTTACTGTCTAGCTTACCTTAGGAAAATTTCACCTCACCTGAAGTGTCAGCCTTGAGGACATTTCTTTGCTTGCCTCTCTTGCGCCCACTCAGAAACAGTCCTGATTGCACCCACTAATATCAAATTAGTGACTAACACACCTGGGAAAGATTTCCTGGACACCTGGCAGGGGCTGCGCCATGTTGACAACTGAGGGACAGCAGAATTCATGGTTTGGGTCCCTGATACCATGGCACTGCCACATACAGTGTCTACATGCAGACTTCAGATCTCCTTTGAAATCATGAATGTCATCAATGCCTTGATGGCAAGGACCAACACCTAGGGTAAGTGTTAGCATCCATAAATTGGCAGTTGAAAGAATGCCAGTCTAAATGAATACGCACTGAACAAAGGCATGGTAACATGCTTCGAGCCTTTATCATTTATTACAGAAGTAGCAGTTAATATTCTATATATCAACTGCAGAGTATTTGTTACTGTGAATTTGACTGTATATAGAATATATACCGGGTGCTTTGTATTCTCAGATAGGCCCCAGAGAATGGAACTCCTCCTCACCGGAATGTCAGTGGTAAGAGCGCCCTACTGCTTACTGAGGCTGGAAGCAGAAGGCTCCAGATCACACACTACATGGCCTTAGCTTATTCCCTTTGATATAGCACTGAGAAGTTCCCTTTAATCAGTAAACAGCACTTTTTTTGCAAGTCATGTCTTCCCCCTGGGACGTGAGGCACCTGCTTTTCTCAAAACTTTATCTGCTTTCCTGGCTCTGAGAGATATGCATGCCTTATTGTCAGAGGACTGTTAAATGTACCTGTGGATATAAAAACCAGAAGCCTTGTGGGAAGAAGAGGAACCCCAAGATAATTTTTAGAAGGAACTTCTTAGAGAATTTTTAGAAAATTTTCTAAAATTTTTTTAGAGTTTTTAAAGTATTTTTGAAAGAGAACTCTAAGAAAGAACTTATAGAGGGAGAATTATTAGAGAGAACTTTTACGGAGAAATCTTTTTTTTATTTTTATTTTTTATTTTTTGGTTTTTTCGAGACAGGGTTTCTCTGTGGCTTTGGAGGCTGTCCTGGAACTCGCTTGGTAGTTCAGGCTGGTCTCGAACTTACTGAGAAATCTTAAAGAGAGGTTTTTGAGAGAGAACTTTTGGGTAGAATGCCTTCATTGAAGAATAAAGAGTGAAAAGAAGAATGACATATGTGTGAACTGATTCATTGGCCCTCAGATGAGAACTTTTTAGCCAACCCCAACCTGAGTGCTGCAAGCCTCCTGTGTGAACCCGTGATAGTAACAATTTACTCACTATGGAACCAAGACTCTCGCTGACCCTCTTTATGCCATGAGTTCTTTCCTGGACTTGCTATAATCTCTTCTCTCTGGCATTTGCATTTGGTCGAGGAACCCCACTGCTGCTCAGTACTGCCAAGAACAGCACACAGCACAGCCAGGGTGAAATTGTATGGAGGTCAGAGATTATGATATGTAAGAAAGGCGACCCCTGGAGTTGTGCCAAGTAGAAGCCCTCTTGTCTCCAGGAAGATAAGAAAAGTCACTTTGTCATTTTTCTAAATTAAACAACTTATGCTTAAGTTCTCCAGAAAATGGAAGTTACTCTTTCTTTATAAAACACGATATAATAAATACCAATAATATTTTCCTGTCATAGCATATTATCAGCATTAGAAACCTAGAGGACTTCTGGGACCTCTTTAAGAAGTGAGTTATATTTGTCCCACAGTGAATGTGATGTAGACAGGAAAGAGAAATGCTAAACATTTAAAGTTTGCTGAAAACTGATCAAATCTTAAAATAAATCTCAATTAGTTCATCAGTCTGAATAACAATATCAAGAACTGACTGTTCCTAGCTTTCTGTCTGCAGTTAGATGTCATGCTGATTTAGTTTAGTTCCTTCATGATTGGGGATAGGGCTTTGCCTCATCATCATAAAGGGCAAGATAAAGTGTTGGCCTTTCACTCACTCACTCACGAAGTCTGTTGTCTATTTCTTTTCCAGGAGCTACCTTCACATGCATCTTCTCAAACATCCAGTCTCATACGTCAGGGCCCACATATGGTGTCTTATGCTTCCATAATGCCATGGACCCAGTCGGCTGAGCTGAGGCTTACTCTTGGAATTAAACAACAATCCAAATGGTAAGAAACATATTCCAATAGCCTCTGGTAACCACTGCTTTGTTACAACCCAACGCTGTGGTGGACAAGCATAAGAAAGTTGTCCTAAGTCTGGTGGCACACCCCTGGGTCTTCCCAGATTCAGCTGAGTTGGAAATCAGTCTTCTGCCAGATTCAGAACTGATTTGCAATAATATAACTAACATGTAATCTTGGCAAAAAAAAAGCACACAAATTTCTATTAGTTTTATGCTAGGATTAATGCAAGGGAATACTTAAAAGTGATGCTT